TATAATTATTTTTTTTTTTTTTTTTTATCCCTGTGCATATCAATAGAGGCTTCAGAACGGATGTTTGTCTGTAAGGACCATATCACACTTCCTCAATCCTGTCCTTGATGACAACTTCTCAGTGACAGGATCACTTTGCAGAGCAGAGAAAGTGCTCACCTACTTCCATGCATTGCTCCCTCGCTGGCCGGATGAGTGAGCTTCTTCTGGCGAGTAACATTCTGCAGCATTGCCATCAGTTATTGAGACGTGAGTTCAGTCATCCAGACACTGAGGGAGCAATTGGAGGATGTGAGGAATTCCCTGCTCTGTATATCCATCTTGTCACTGTCCAGTCGTTGCCAGTGACCAGATTGCTAATGTGACATGGCCCTAAGGGGAGAGAGGTGACGTCTCTGAAGGTGTGCAGTGTATAGGCAAAGAAGGAAGCAGAGTAACCCACCAGCATTATGTTGTGCTTATTTTGGGGCTTCATTGACTTTTTATGTGCTCTCTCCATTTGTAGTTCGTAATCATTGTTGTGGACAGCACCGACAGAGAGCGCATTTCAGTGACCAGAGAGGAACTGTATAAAATGTTATCTCATGAGGTGAGTAATATACTATATATTAGAGCTGCAGCTAACGATTATTTTCAAAATCGATTAGTTAGCCGATTATTGAGTTCGATTAATCGGATAAACAATTTAAAGTTTAAAAAATGGCTCCAGTGATGGGACTACTAGTTTGTATTGAGGTTGTAGTCCATCACAGGAGCAAGCTTGGAGCGGTGGAAGTAAAAAATAAAAAAGATAGTGTGGTGTGCAATATAGACGCGGCGTGTGGAGCGTGGATGCGGGCGGGTCTGGCAGCAGTGAGCGTGAGGTGGGGAGGAGGTGCGGCGCACAGCGTGTGGAGCTGTGAACAGGGCCAACTGGTCGGAAGCCGATTAATCGATTATTGAAAAAGTTGACAACTTTTTCAATAATCGATTATAATCGATTGTCGATTAGTTGTTGCAGCCCTACTATATATACTATAAGCAATATCTGTATTGCTTCTGACCTGAAGAAGAGAGGTTCACATATATATATTGTAGTGTGCTATTGCCCCATGCTTTCCTGTGTCCACTTAAAAGGGGATTTGAAAACCTGCTCTGTATGGAAATCTGAAAGTAGCTCAGGTAGTCCTATCTCTCACGGTGGATCTGACAGCATTCAGCTTCACTGTGTAGTGGTTATATTCCATATCGAGGTAGTCGCAATACTCTTGCTCGAGTTGTCCACAAAATAGTAGTTTATATGTTACTTAGTGGTCTAATAAACAGCAAGTAAGACAGACGAATTGCCTAATCCTATGATCATTTCACACACTAAATGTATTCATTATCTAGAACTGTGTCACGTCCTGCAGAATGCAACAATAGAAGCCGCTCTTATCTTATTTCACACTAGCAAAAAAAAAGGGAAAGGTGCACATGGGCAGGGCTATGTACAAAAGATCCCTGGCACACACTCAAGCCAGCCAGTAAAATAACATAACTAAACTGTTTCAACTGCACAGGTTAAAAACAGATTGGCGGCCTTTGTTGCTTTTTTGGATTTGGTGCAGACACACTGGAAGTCTTCGGATGCTTTTCGGAAAGCCATGTCCGGGCCTCTGGTGTGTTGCTGTACCTTTTTAAAAAGAAGCCCAATTTCTGTCTGATCATTGTTGCATTGTCATATATGTTCCATGGGAACTAGGTCTCTTTTTATTGGTACTATCAAACCAAAACCTCCATTTAATTGTTTTACTGTTTCAGGACCTGAAGAAGGCGGGCCTGCTGGTCTTCGCAAACAAGCAAGATGTGAAGGAATGTATGAGTGTAGCAGAGATTTCACAGTACTTGAAGTTAACGTCAGTGAAAGATCATCAGTGGCATATACAGGCATGCTGCGCTCTCACTGGGGAAGGGTGAGTCATTTATAAGAAAAATAGAAGCAGCTCATGTACCTCATGTGAACATAGTGAACTTATAACCATTTACTGGCCCAGACTGACTAGTGTGACATGAGGTGAGCCCATTGTAAATGGATTTTCTATTTTGCCTTAAATTAAAGTGCCTCTACATGCTCATGTGTGACATTATAAATGGCTACCAAATACAATCACAGTGGTACCTCGGGTTCATGAACGCTTCAGTTTGTGAACAGGAAGTTCAACAACATTTTGCTTCCGTTCACGAACTCCTCAACGGGTGACGAACACAACCACAGTCATCTTCCCTGCTCTGACACATGGTCGTGGCTTCTTCTAGTCGAGATCACGGTCTGATCAGTTTAAATCGGTTCGCGACCAATTCGGTTCACAACCAGAATCGTGGAATGAATTAAGTCCGTGAACCGAGGTACCACTGTGCTATGTGATGTACAAGCCTCATAAACAAAACTTATTTGCATACTCCTATGCTGCAGTCTGATTGGCTCCTATAGAATAGCACATGGTCACGTACTGCACTGCCTGATTGAATACTGATAATGTATACAGAAGGTTTACATTGTTTTTTTCTTCACTGTGTAGCCTCTGTCAAGGTCTCGAGTGGATGATGTCAAGACTCAAATCTAGATGACCCCAGACAGACCTGCAGAGACAATAGGTTGCTGACACTACTGTATTTATGAATCCCTGGACTGCTGCAAACCTCCGACAAGTATTTATAATCATCGTGTTCCACCGGTGTCAGAGGGCGAACTCTCCGAAGGCAAAAACTGTAAAGACTACTTCTGAAAGCTGTGATTGGCCTGGCCATTATTTTTAGCCCTCCTCCATGGAACGTCAAAGGAAACAGGAGCTTTTTAAAACTTTTTACAAAGACAGTTTTACAAGTGAACGTGGTGCGAGATGGAAACACCGATCAGATGAACTAGGAACATCCATAATGGCTGAGCAGTATTTTTAAAAACAAAACCTACTGAGGAGACCCAGACTGAACATGGGCAATGTGCAGCTCTCTGTTTGGGAACTGCTAGTCTCGGCGTGCCTTGTCCAACATACTTGGATTTGTAGTTCCCAGCAACTAGAAAGATGCATATTTAACATTCTCAAACTCGAATCCTGTACATATCTTTGTATTTCCTGTGTGTACGCATGCTCCTATCTTGTACTGATGTATGGAAGAATTGCCTTGACAACAGTTAAAATTGCACAGTTCTAACTTTAGAGGACCTGTCATTTTTGGAATGTCTTCTTCATCAGTCAGCTGAATGCGAGTTATAAAACTTTCTGGTATACTTTATTTGCCAAAAAATGTCTGGTTTAGGTGCTACCTCATCATTAATGTCTATCCTTACACCTGATTGATAGTTTGGGCTGTGGTGTCAATTTTAAGACTGCACACCTTAAATGCAACCTGCCAACCTAAGCTTTTAATAGTAAATGTTCTGGCTGAAACAGACAGCACAAGGTGCTTTGCCTCTGCGTGCCTTTGCGAAACCAGGTTCACTTTGCTAGAGGACTGGCTTAATGGCTAACCCTCAACAGCCACCAACTCCTATGTCCAATGTGAGTGCCAGTGAAGGAATTCTCATTGGACAGATGGTGCCAGTTGACAGGGCTTAGCCTTGAATTAAGGCCTTTAGCAAGGAAGTGAAACCTGTAATGAGAGGAATTTGGAGGCTACTACTGCTGACCTCCTCCTGAAAATGATAGTTACTTAGCTGTCTCTGTTGTCTTACCTTCTAAATCTCTGACCTGGAACATGCAAGGGAAAGTCAGACATGTGATCTGCATTATTGTTTGGGTCAGCGATTTAAGAAGTACTGAAGCCACTGATTTAGTTTGACAGCTAGACTTTAGCATTTTTAGAAGAGGTCAACACTGGTAGCCTATATACTTCCATAGTACATGTTTCCTTTTTAAGCACCACCTGTCCAATGTGAGTTCCCTTGCTGGCCCTTGAGGCAGTGTCATTGGACACAGGGGTTGGCAGGTGTTGAGAGTTGGCTGTTATGAAAACACAGGGGTTCCCATTCCTGACTTTCTTTTGATAATTCGAGTTACCTTGCCACCTCTTTGCCACAGCAGCCCATCCTGATAGTGTTACAGCCTGGTGATTGGCTGCTTCGGCCAAAGCACTGTCACATACGAGGGGTCGTATGCTTCCCTATACCAGCCAGGAAGCCCCAAGCATGGATGGGTGAGTATACCTTCATGGGAGGGTGGGCCAAGAGGGCAGGTTTTATCGTCTTATCACCCACCACCTAAAAATCCCCCCC